TTGTCTGGATAGATGCAAAAGCTCTTGACCATTGACCTGAGCTCCAGTGAAGTTTAACAGAAGACAAAACAAAGGTTTAGATTAAATCAGTGTAATCTCTTATTGGTGTTTACTTGTGTTACTTTAAGCTCTAAATGGATTTTTCAGAGTAACCATAACCTGATAGAGAAACACTTGAACTTTGGAAAAACATAATTTTATATCCCAGTATTGTATCCTTATAGAAGTTCTCCACTAACTTTCTTCTTGTGCTGCTCTACAAGCTCTTCATATTCTGTATTCAGGTTTACTGTCCATAGTCCAAGATGAGATACCAACTTATCTGTGTTTGCCCTTTTTCATCAGTGTTTCTGTGGGATTGTTAATCAGGCAAAAATCACACTGGGGAGTATAAATAAGTTTTAAAGAATCTCAGTTTAATTATGCTTTTTTTGCATTATGGGAAAAGCAGAGGCCATGAAGGTTCTGCAGAGCAGCAGCACAGTTCACCCAGTTTGCATATATAACCATAGCATCCTATTTCTTAACCATGCAGTTATCTTCTTATGAATCATTCATGTGACTCTGAATGTCTACTAATCTTTAAATAAGTTCTGATATATCTTGGAACAGAGAAGCTAAATTAATGGTGAATTGTTAGGGATTTTTTTAACTATAAATGGAAAATTATTCCTATCATGACTTGCTCTAAACACAGGAAGGAAGGCAGCAGTGCTGAAAAGTGTCTGAATCTATTGCAGATTATCTGCAAGCTTTCTCTCCCCTGAGATGTTGAAGGCCATTTCTGTTGTTCTGTCCAAAGATAAATACTATTAAGCACTTCTGGAGTCCTTGCTGTCCTTTCCTTTCTGAACTGTCTATTCTTACTTGTCATCAACTAGACAAAAAACATATCTGGCTTTGCCTTCTCATTTTTGGTCATTTCTTTGGGGCAAGAATGTGAATCTCCCCATATCCTCAACTGGAAATGCCAGCAAAAAAGGATTGTTCATATTTCTTTATTTCCATAGAAAAAATGGCAGGGGGTGGATAACACCATGTCAGCTTGCAGTCACAAGAAAAAAAATCTAGGAAACCAGGAGCTAGAACTGGAAAAATCTAGGAAACCAGGAGCAGATATTAATACTTTCAGAGAAGCTTCCCTAAAATTTGGACTTTGAAACATGCAGGTGAATCCAGTTATGGCACTGGGAACTGGATGTTCCCCTGGGTGGATGGAGGGCTGGCGCGTGCTGCTCCCGCTGCTGCCGAGAGCAGTGACGTCAATGGAGATGATATCCCTGCTCTAGAAATGCTCAAACCAGCCATAGAGTCAATCAAGATGTCTTTGTTGAAGCAGGAATCACAGTATTAAATCTTGCTGTTCTGAAGCTAGCAGACTCAACTCAAGGCTATCATTGCTATTTTTCCAAAGACATTTCATCACAGACATCTGCCAGCCAGCTGTGTAGACTTTCTGTCTGTGCTAATTTGTAAAGTATTGTTGCTGGCCTTCAGCATTCAGAGCCATCTCCTTTTGGGCTCTTCGTGGTCAAAAACTCTCTTCTTGGAAATATTTTCTTCCTCTGGTTAAGTTGGTTGCTTTTGTTTGGTTGCATTTGATTTATTAGCTTTGGCATCAGCTTCTTTTGTTGGGCTTATCTTGATTTTATAAGGCATCTTATAAATACATAAATGTTGACTAGTAGAACAAGGAACTGAGACTTCACTGATGTTGCAGTATTGCCCCACTGAAGACAACATCCTGCAGGATTCTCCTTTGTCCACCAACCCTCTTTCAGTTTTGAAGTTCAATCTCTTGCAGGTGCTTTAATATTTCATTAATTTAATTGCTTTGTCCTTCACCTGGAGGATTTGGCTGAAAGGCCAGGAAGAGGGGTGCTGGCTGGGCAGGTGGTGGTGGTGCAGGACCTCTGCTTTCCCTGCTAACACTGCCCTCTCCTGGTTCTCCTGCTGTGGACTGAGAGCTCAGGACCCGTGCAGGTGCCAGATAAGGAGAATGATAACGCTGGCTGTTTCTCCTGTTGCTTGCTCTCTCCCAGCTCCATGGCCTCCCATCTTTCTGATGGATGGCACCATGCAATCTTTGTGCTGGCCCAAGAAGCACAAGGCAGCCCTTTCTCAGAGTTGTAGGCTCAGAGCATTCCCAGGAATGCACCAGGGGTGGGGTGGTTGCTGTACCTGGGCCCACCTGGGATCTCACCAGGCTTGCAACCCCAGCCTCAGAAGCAGTCCCTGAATCCCTGAATCCTGGCTTTTAATATCCAGCACCACTCCTGGCTGCTTGTTCTGCCTCTCTCAGTTCTGTTTGCTGACTGGACCTGTCCATCCATGGTAAGTTCCTGACTAATGCCTCTGCCAGGCTGCTGGAACCAGGCTGATCAGCCATCCACAGCCTGCCATTCCTGAGCCATTATGGGTTACTGCTGAGCCCCCCCTTTCTCCCCCAGAGCCCTGCCTGAGCCCAGAGTGCTCCCTTCCCTCTCTTTTCCCCATTCCCAGCTCATGTCACTCCACAGAGCAGGATCAGGTTGCCTTTGCATTGTGATTCTTGGCAGGAGCCCCTCTCGGGTTCCTATGGCTGTTGTGTGAGTGCAGCAGCCAGTAGGAACAAAGCACATAAGGACACATTAAACCAACATTCAGCATGCAAAGCCCCAGTAATTTACTATATGCTACCCTGCCTAGGAAAGGGAACAGTGTAGCACATTTGCCCTTTTAATTTCCTTTCTCACACTTTTGTCTACAGAAGCCTGCACTGTAACTTTCTTGAAAAGCATTTTTATTTATTCCATAGTCATTCTTAGGCTGTTTGTTTTAAAGCAGTGTTTCTTGCAGAAACAATCTGCTGTGCTTTGCTTGATACCATCACTAAACAGAGACAGGCTGTTGTATCTGATTAGAATTTTAATTGTAGAAATCTAACCTTTGCCACTTCATCGTGCTCTTAAAGTGGTAAAATGATCCCTGCTGTGCTGCTGCCTGATAATTCTCTTTTTTTAAAACCTGCATTGAGCAGTGTTACACAAGTGCCAAACTCAGATCAACAAATTTGTATACTGATGAACAGTTATCCCTTCAGGCATGAAAAATGCCAGTTTGACATTCTTTCCATGTCTTGTATTAACATAGTAGAGTTCCAATAAAAATACTAATCACTTTGAAATAAGAAATGTTACAGAACTGTCAGATGTTAATTTTTTTTAAACCACACAATTTAAAAGAAGGTTCAAATAAGATAAGATGGTTGCTCACAGCAGCTCAGAGTGACAAAGAATTTTGGCTTCAGAAGCTGGAAATAAGCTTCAGAATCCATCTTAAGTGGATGTACCTGCTACATATATGGTTGTCTTATATTCATAGGGAATATACTTCATTAGAAGAAAATCCTATCACTAAAAAATTGAAAGAGCTTTTTTGGTATATAGCACAGGGCAGGGCTGTCTGCTTGAGAGCTTATCCAGCCTATCTATCCATATCATCTGACCTAGTAAGGGATGCTGCTTCTCCTTGTTCTCTGAGGTCCTTAGACCACTGTGAGTACAGTAATCCCTATAATGCTTGCACAAATTACAGCCTTCCTTGGGATTTTGCACAGTTCACAGGCCAGCATGGACTTTATCAATTGCTGGGCAGCCAAGCAGGTTACTGAAGGCAGATGTTTCCTGCTCTTTATTAAGACTCTGTGGGCCCCTAAATCTGGCAATGGCATTAGGCTCAAAGCTAAAAGCTGTGTTTGCATATGTTGTGTGACATGGTTTGGGACACCACTTGTTGGAGAAACTGTTTATAAACTGTAGACAGAGTGAATAATATAAAGTTTGAAATTCTGTGTCCTGTTCTGAGCCAATTATAGGGATCTGAAGAACGAATGACCCAACAGGAAATGCAGAGTTAGTAAACAAAAATCGTGTATGTTCCACTGCAATTGTGCGTAGTCATCTTCTGAGTTAGGAAAGAGAGTTTCTGAAAATTAGTAATTCCTTGGGAAAAATAGAATTCTAGTTAACTTTGGGTGCATTTTGTATAATTATGTGACGTTCCTATTGATTTCAGATCAGAAATATTTCTCAAGTAATGACCTGTGAAACATCCCATTGTTCACGAATAAAAGTCAAGCTATTTAAAGCAATACACTGGCAAGCTGTTGTATTGCCCTTGCAATATGGTTGCCTTCAGAAAAACATTCTACAGAGGAAGTTTTTCTTACATTTATCATAGAACCATGTATTCAGGAGTAGTTAAGTCATGTGGACACGGTCTTTACTGGGAAGGTGACAAGCTTGGTCCTGTAGAATGAAAAAGTGATATAAATGTATTCAGGTATAGTTAAGTCATGTGGACATGGTCTCTACTGGGAAGGTGACAAGCCTGGTCCTGTAGAATGAAAAAGTGAAATAAAGAGGATGGAGAGCATTCAGTTCCAGGTGACAGGGCCACCAAGGGAAGATGCAGGTGCTGGAAGTGCCCAGCGTGTCACCTTATTGTATTTGTGTTTCCCCCAGATGAAGGAAGGAATGATCAATCTGACTCCATGTTCTTAGAAGGCTAATTTATTATTTTATGATACTATATTATATTAAAGAATACTAAGCTATACTAAAGAATACAGAAAGGATACTTACAGAAGGCTAAAAAGATAATAATGAAAACTCTTGACTCTTTCCAGAGTCCCGACACAGCTTGGCCCTGATTGGCCAAAGAATGAAAACACTCACACCAGAATCCAATGAAACAATCACCTGTTGGTAAACAATCTCCAAACACATTTTAAAGGAGCAAAACAGAGGAGAAGCAAATGAGATAATTATTGTTTTCCTTTTTCTCTGAGGCTTCTCAGCTTCCCAGGAGAAAAATCCTGGGCAAAGGGATTTTTCAGAACATGTGAATGCCACATCACCTCTGTTAGTTCCCTTCCCAAAGTGGTGGTGTGGCAGGGCTGTCACACAGTGAGCTCATTTCAGAGCAGGGGCTGACCATGTTTCTGTGTGTCCTTGCAGCTGCACAAGGAGCTGGAGAAGGGGGAGAGGGAGAGCGTGGAGCTGCAGGAGTTTGCCAACGCCATCCTGCAGCAGATCGCGGATCACTGCCCCGACATCCTGGAGCAGGTCGTCAACGCCCTCGAGGAGTCCTCGTGACCTCGGCCACCAGCCCACGGAGCAGCACACCAGTGGCCAAGGCCAGGCAGCCCACGGAGCCATGAGAGTGGAGAGCAGTGTGAAAGAACATGGAATAGAAACTTCTGGTGCACCTTTGACAAAGAAAACAAAGGCAAAGCAAAAAAAAAAGCCCCTTCTAAAAACTACATGCTCTCTAGGTTCTTCCAGTCTATGATTAATCAGCTGTTTTTGTATTCATCTTCTCACTGCCTTTCTACTTTAGAATCCAGTTCCCCATTGACTTTGTTGATGGTGACTTTTGGATACAGCTAAGCAGAGCTCTTCCAAGTCTACTGAGCAAAGAAGAGGGGATCCACTGAACACAAGCAGCTCTAGTTCTCCATGAGGTTGCAGAAGAGTAGCCCTCACCTTTCATTAATATATTGCTTTTTCCTTCTTGTCTTCTTTCCTCCTTCCTGTTTTTTATTTTCATGAAAGCTGAAAGCCTGAATTTCATAGTGCTAAAACCAAACCTGAGTGTGCTCTGATCATGGCTCGTGGCTGGCCAGCATCAGCTAGCTCAGGTCTTGCTGCCTGTCTCAATGCTTCTTATGTTCTTCAATAACAGAGTGAGGAAAGGAAAGTTTCCCTCCTTGCTCCTGTTAGTCATTTCATCTAGCAGCTGGGAGAAAAGGTAGGCATACTGGTACTTTCTGTTTACTTAACTTGGAATTTTATTGTTCACTGGTCTGACTCTGAATTGCTAGGTGGGCCATTTTTTGAGGTAACTGTTTTCATATTTTGATTTTTGGTGGGTTTTAGATGAGGTTTCTCATCATAAGTCTGTGTCTCCTATGTTCTTGCTTTATAGAGAGCTCTCTCCCTTTGAGCAGGTGTGGTCAACAGGTCAGTTCCCAGCTTTAACTTGTACAGTTTGTCCAGTTTTTCAGGCTATGACTTTGTGAACACTGACTGTCGTCAGAATAGTCTTAAGCATTCTGTAAATGAGAAATTTGCATCACTTAGCTTAAAAGTATAATTTTAAAACTAAGTTAGGTAAACCAGTAGCATATTTCTTGCTATAATTATAATTTAATTTATTTTGGTTTAGCTTACATTGAGGAGGAATGAGTTTGAGTTCAGAGCAATAACCCTTATGAAGAGGAGCATCTCTGCTGGAGTTGGCACCCAGCTGAGTAGATAGGTGTAAAATCACAGCTTTACTTAAACCAGTGCAATTCTTCTGTGTATATGAGAGGCCTTAGTTTTATTCCCATCCACCTTTGACACTCGTTACAGCTCCTGCTGATAGGTAACATGACCTGAAATCCCAGATCAGTTTGTCTGCAGTTTGGTAGCAATGTCAGAAATCCTATTTTATGAGTAGGACTTGGGTGTTCATTCTTGGACTATGCATTAATGGGGAGACAGGTTTTTTTCCTGGCTGCCAGTGGTTATGTGTGTCTGGGGGCATCTGGAGGACAGAGCCCTGTAACATGTCCCCATGTGCTCCTTAAAGGAGCTGCTCCCTTTGGCTGGCTCATGTTACCTCAGAGAGCAAGGGGAAAGCAAAAGGAGACCAAATAACACAGCAGTGGAAGATATCTTGGGTTTTCTAGTCAATAGCTAATTATAGATCTTCTCACTAAACCTCCTATTCAGAGCCTGCAGTTTAATTCCATATAGCTTACTACATTGTGAGCTTAATCACTAAGCTGTTATGCTAAGGAAAATGTTCCAGGCCTTTTCAAGAAAGCTGCATTTCTTACATCTCTCAGATCCACAGCACAGCTGCCTGTATGTCTTTCACACCTTGTTTTTATCTTTAGAAGTGATCAGTTGCTTCCATCACAAAGGAGATCAGCAAAAGTTTGGATAAGGGAAGATGTACCTTGTAGTTTTTTCCCAAACAAGCAGTGAAAATTGGGCAAAACTGCAACCTTATGTACCTGTAGACTCTATTTAAAATAAATCACATCCCCATTGATTCTACTGTAATAATTCAGCAGAAGGAGCCGCATTCATAGCCAGGTGTCTAGGAAGAATAAGTCTCAAGAGGCAAATCACTCCTTTTCCAATTCTTTTGGAATTACCAGTGCTTTGCAAATCAGGAGAGCTAACTTTAGTTCTTCCTGTGTAGCAGGAATAGCAGCCTGTGTCTGAAGCTTTTTTTGGTGTGGTGTGTGAGGGGAGCAATGGGAACCTGGATGTGTGGAAGGGGGGAATGCCGGAAGGGCAGCAGACAGTGACTGTACCACTGCTGGGCCCTGCCTCATCCCAGAGCCACCCCTTTGGTCCCATTCTTTGAGTCAGCACCATTCGATAGGAGCTGTTGTTTTGAAATCTTTCCTCTTGCATTTTCCTCATCACCCCTAATTACTCACTCAAGGAATTTAATGCCGCCTGTAAAAGCATCAGAGCCATCAGCCCGGCATCATCGGCCACCGCCGCCCCTCCTGACTCTCTCATTAACTTATATGGTCAAATCTCCAGCTGCCCTGGTTCCCTGCTGTAAAACAATCCTTCCTCTGTGAGAAGCTGTGGAATTTCCCTTATTGATGGTTCAAATGGCTCCTACTTGTAAACCTCTTACTGAGATGTTCCTTGATAGCGTTTCTGCTGGAGGCAGGGGCAGGGGGAGGGGATGGAGTGAGGGGTGATCACTTCAGGCTGTTATTTCAATTCCCTGGCTTTACCGCATTGCCCACACATCGAAGGGAAGTGCTGCTGCTTCTTCAGCATCTCTAACTCAGCTTGTGGCTGCATTTCTGTGGCCCCAAGTGCCCCAGCCAAAGGCCTGGTGCTGTTAGGGCAGCGTGTGCAGGATCTGTGCATCAGCAGCCGGGTGAAGCTTGCTGTTTACACATCTCCTGGCCTCTTCCCAGGGAGGATTTGTCAAGCCTGGCTGGTTTTCACGCTGGCCATTTGGTCCTTTATCTGCCAGCCACACACCTGCTGTTCCTTCCATCCAAATTGTTGGGCCCTGGTGATTTTTCTCGTTAACCACTGTTATCTCCTAGGTCTTGTAGGCTTCCCATCTTAAAGATTGATCTTAGACCTCTGTGAAGTGCACTCAGGGAGGGAGCAGATCTCATTTAGGAACAGTCTTGATCCGACTTGATCTCCATTGAACTATTTCAGGTAACCTCTCTGATCCTGTGTCAACAGAGATCCTGTGAATAGCTTGAGGAACTTTGGGGTTTGGGAGGTACTGCTGGCCACAATTTAATGCTGAATGTGACCACTGAAAGCTTTTTATTTTCACTCATATGGAGTGCCACACCATTGGCCTTAAGGCAACAAAGGGATTTTATTCTCACAACCCATCATGGAATTGCATATGAGGCACATGGGAGAAAGGCCATATGTGGCATACCCTGCAATGCTCATCCAGTTGCCTAACCCACCACTGCTCTTCTAAGATCTTATTCCCAAGTGTCAGCAGCCAGGCAGATGCAGACAGTTTCCTACCACAGTGGTCCTGCAGTGCAGCAGCTCTAGGAAATCAGGGCCCCTTCCCAGGGACCCTGGGGAAATTTGCTTTTTCTTCTCCTGTTGAATGAAGTTTCATTTGCTACAGGAGCTGTGAAAGTTTTAACTGCTTTAATATTACTTTTTTTTCTTCTGAGCTGTCATTTGCAGAGAAACTGAGAGATGTAAGGACTCAGGAGCTGTTCGTAGAAAATTAAGTAGATCATTTTGGCAGGGCTTGGGCTAAAAAATAACTGAAGCCTCTGAAGCCCATGTACCCTGTAAAAGCTGACACTGCAACCACACTTGTTCATGATACCCACAAGCCCAAGTCCATACTTTCCTCTGAATCCAACCTCATGTAAAACACTACAAGGACATAACACTAGAATTGCAGGGTGAGACATGAGCACTGTTTGCCGCTGGAAGAAGAATTACCTGGCATGCTCCCCGACGAAGCTCTAGGCTTCTCTAAGTATTCTCTCTCGTGTTGACTGCCTTTAACCAGCTTTCACTCCAGAAAATGCCAAACCCTCTTTGGAATACCCAGTTTTTGCCAAGTCCTGGGGACGGAAGGTGAAGGTCCAACGCGATGCGCGGAACCGCGTGCGCCGTTTCTCGTTGCATGGCTGGAAAATGCCTTCTCTGGAAAACTTCCTGGTACTTCAGGGCTCTGAAATTTGCACAAGGGAGCATAGATGTCATAAATCTTGTAGAGATAACCCTGGTTGTTGAACCAAAGGGGCACCTCTTTTCGTTTGCCCTGTAATTCCCATCCGTTCTGCTGCTAGTGCTCAATTTGTTGGGAAATTTTTACATCTGATGAGGGGTGACAGGGTTGAGTCCTCACTCCTGTACTAATTGCCAATTGCTGCCACTGCAGGGGTCTTTACGAAGGATGTGGAGTCATGCACTGATACCATTTTAAAGCAAAAATGTCGTTACATACAAAAATGTGTATATCCTTGAAATTATTCCAGTGAAATGCTAAAGGGAAAGAGTACAACCAAGGCATCTGATACTGAAAGGAAGCTTCTCCTCAGCTCAACATCCCCACTGGAAGAGGGACCTGAAGAGGCCGTGGAAGGCTCTGGAAAACCAACACTGCCCCAGCAGAGCTGTGAGGAGGGCCGGGCGCGGGGCATCGGGGGCGTCGTGCCTGGCAAGGCCAACTCTGCTGACCCCTCTCATCTGTGTGGTGAGGAAGAGGAGTGTCAGGGGGTTTTTTAAAGCAAAACGATGTTTTTAATTGTTTTTTCCACATAAATGGAAGGAACCTTACGCAACAGCAGATCCTTCTGAACAAAATGGCTGTATCCGCTGACTATTTTTAAAACGAAGAAAAAAAAAGAGAAAAACTGTTTCAAAACTTTTTAGTGTCAAAAGCATAAACTCAGAAATCCTGACTTTTTCCAGTGTGTGTGGTGAGTGCTGTAACCCTGTCATCAGTATCTCCCCTGACTTTTTCAGGGGTGTTTTTTTCCTGTTTTGTTTTCTGCTTGTCGATATTGTCTGTGTGGTCCTAAGGCTGGGGCAGTTACCAACAATGTGTGTCTATTGTCGGTTTGAAACAAAAGATAGTAGTAGAACTGAAAAAGATGTGTTTTTAAAAATATATAAAAATAAATTTCATTAAAAGGAATTCAAGTAAAGAAGCAACAAAGCCATGAC